TATCATAACAGAGTAAAGATTAATTCCTGGGACCAGAGTTGTTGCATAGTGAGTAAAGCCACAGCCTGCAACACCAGCATCCCATATGGGGGCTGGTTCAAGACCCAGTTGCTCCAGTTCTGATCCAGCTCCCTGCTAGTGCACCTGGCAAAGCAGAAAGAAGATGGCCCAAGTCCTTGGGCCCCTGCACCCATGAAGGATACCTGAAGGAAGCTTCAGGCTCTTGGCTTTCGTCTGGTCCAACCCTATCCATTGTGGCCATTTGGGGAGTAAACCAGAAGATGGCAAACCTCACCCTCGTCCTATCTCTCTGTGGCTCTGCCTTTCAAATAAATAAGTAAATCTTTAAAAAAAAATGACCATAGATAAAATACATCATCCCAGAATACCTCTTTTCTGGTTTGTGAACATGCTCAGGATAGAGGCTATGTTAAAAAAAAAAATTAAAAAAGATAAAAAAGGATTCTTTGACATCATGATCAATTTAACAGTTTCCTAAGAAAGTAATAAAATTTAATTCAGTTGGCTGGTTATATTAGAATAAAACCTACCAAAATTTACATACAAATAGAAAGGAGGAAGTATTTGACCTTAGATAGTAAATTTATTTATGGCATATTTCCATAAAGACCATTAATTACCACTATGAATTCTGTTAAAAATATATAATTCAATCCCTGGACTACTCAACCTATAACATGTAGAGTTTCAAATCATATTTCTGGTTATACTTAAACAAAAAATTTAAATAGTATATATTATTTTGTTTGTGTTTTTTTTTTTTTTTTGACAGGCAGAGTTAGACAGTGAGAGAGACAGAAAGGTCTTCCTTCCATTGGTTCACCCCCCAAATGGCTGCTACGGCTGGTACACTACGGCTGGCGCACCGCGCCAATCTGAAGCCAGGAGCCAGGTGCTTCCTCCTGGTCTCCCATGCGGGTGCAGGGCCCAAGCACTTGGGCCATCCTCCACTGCACTCCCGGACCACAGCAGAGAGCTGGACTAGAAGAGGAGCAACCGGGAGTAGAACCCGGGGTGCCGGCGCCACAGGCAGAGGATTAGCCAAGTGAACTATGGTGCCAGCCAATAGTATATATTACATATATGTATATATATAGAGAGAGAGACAGACAGATGATATAGCTATATTCTTTAAGTTTTTGGTCTTTACTGGTAGTTTTAAAAATCTTACCTTTTACATATATAGAGAGAGCGAGAAATCTACATATATGTGAATAAAAGAAAGTGATTTTAAATATATGTGTGTGTGTGTGTGTGTGTGTGTGTGTGTGAATAAGATATAGTCCTATGCAACTTGAGATTTACAACAGCTGAAGAGTAGAAGAACCATAATTTCAATACTGGCTGCATCAATGTGGTAATTAGTGCCAAACTAGGGAACAGCTTCAGCTAACAGAAAATATAAACAGAGGTTTTAATTGGACTAAAGGGATTCCTACTGCTATTAATAACAAGTCTTGAAACACACAAAATAAATATCCTCTGGTAACTACTTACAATAAAATAGTGGGCCAAAAAGATTTTTTACTTCAGATTTAATCCAGATACAAGAATTCCATTTAACATTAAATTAGTGACTGTGCTTCTCATATATTATATCATTAACAAGTTCAGGGCCTACATATATTTTAGATTATTGTGTTGGCACTTTTCTAAGTGAAGATATAATTAATTTAGAAAGATCAATTATTGATTCTTTGCAATAGGAGAAATCATGGGTATAATGGGCATTTCTCTGGATACATATGCTAAAATTATAATATGTATTCTAATTCTTTTTAGCATGATCTAGTTTTTCATACCAGATCTTAAAGAGCCTCTTAGTGTTAACCAGAAACCAACACTAGATAAATCAAAATTTAGAAACCTGTTCACCTTTCTTCTTTCATGGTCTCTCCCCATGTTATGGTTTCAATGCATTTATATTTTTAAATAATTACATCCATGGAATTTCCAAACTCTTTACCTTGGCTGAGAGTTTCTCCTTTACCATATCTAAGATTTTTCGCTTTTTTCTTCTACTCTCCTAATTTTTTAAAGTAAAATTTTCACTGAAAAATAGGTCAAATTTCTGGAGCTAAAAATGGGTCAAGCTATGAGTCTGAATGTGCAGGAGACTTTGTCACTCAAAAACCTGGAAAAAGAGATGATGGAAGAAGGTTGTTTTGTCCTGAAAGAAGTAGTCTTGATGTCATAAAGATTACAACATAATTTTTTAGGAATTGAAAAATTTGGCAAAGAAAGGAATTATAGGGGTAGAGAGCATAGTTCAAGATGATAAATTATAAAACAATAAATTTAACTTAAAGTGCAACTATCCTGTGAATATCATGATAAACAAATTGAACTGAAAAGTATAACAGTAAGTTAAAATACACATAGGTGCTTATAGGTAGATGTAACTCTTTAGAGGTGGTTATTACGATGCAGCTGGTTAAATCACTCCAATGAAATCCATCAAATCTACTCCATTAAATCTCACCTCCACTTCTGATCCAGCTTCCTGCTAATGTGCATTCTGAGAGGCATCGGATTATGACCCAAATAGTTGAGACCCTGCCACGCACTTGGGAGAGCTGGGTGAAGGTTCTAGTTCCTGCATTAGGCCTGGCCCAGTTCTGGATATTGTAGGCTTTGGCAAGTAAACCAGTGGATAGACCACTCTGCCTGAATTGGTGTCTCTGTTTCTGTCTCTCCCTATGTCAATTTGCCTTCAAATAAATAAATAAAACTTTCAATATATGAAAAATTCTTTAGACTAAAGTAGGAAACATGTACCAGCTATTGTTAGGAGTAATAGTAGCCACCTAGGGGAAAAAATTGGTTGAAAATTCACAATTTGAGCTATAAATCTTTTAAAAAAATTTTAACTAATATAAAGAGAATAGATTTCATGTATTTCATAGGTACAATTCTAATAAGATAATGATACTATCCTCCCTCCTTCTTTCCCTCCCTCAACCCCCCACTTCCTTCCTTTCTTATACATTCTTTAATTTTGGCCAAAACTTAATTTCAGTTCAATCTATAATCACAGGTTTAATGCACCACTAACCATAACATTCAACCAGTAAAAAAAAAAAAGTAGGAAGACCACAGTTCCACAGGAGTATAAACAAGGGCTAAAAACAATCACCAAATCACATGGTGTCCATTTTGTTCTTAGACATTTTTTTGTACTCTATATTAACTGCCACATATCAGAGAAAACATATATTTGTGTTTGGAGGACTGGCTTATTTCACTAAGCAAAATGATTTCTAGTTGCTTCCATTTTGTTGCAAGAGACAGGGTTTCATTCTTTTTATGACTCAGTAGTATCCCAAAGTGAATATATGCCATGTTTTCTTTATCCAGTCATTAACTGATGGACATCTGGGTTGATTCCATGTCTTAGAAATTGTGAATTCTCAGGTAAATTCTCAGGAATGGGATGGTATCCTATTTTCAGATTTCTGAGGAATCTCCTGACTGTCTTCCATAATGGTTATACTAGTTTACATTCCCACCACCAGTGTATTAAGGTTCCTTTTTCCCTCATCCTTGCCAGCATTTATTATTTTATTGAGTTTTGGATGAAAGCCATTCTAAGTAGGGTAAGGTGAAACCTCAGTATGGTTTTTACTTGCATTTCCCTGATGGGAAATTGTCTTGAGCATTTTTTTCATGTGTCGGCCATTTGTATTTCATTCTTTGAAAAATGCTTATGTATGTGTAGAAGTTATTTAAGTTTAAAAAACAAAACTAGAGAAATAGTAGGAGAAATAATTGGAAAACGTTTGCGTAATCTCAGAATTATAGGCAGTTGGTGGATTCCACAAAACCCTGGCATACAGAAAGGTTGATAAATTAACAAAAAGTTAAAATATTTGCATAACAACGTATAATGCAAACAAAAAAAGGTAAATGAAACAACCAAGAAATACATTTACAACTACTATTACAAAGCACTCATATAAGAATATGTTTCCTATTACCAATTATAGAAATGTAATTAAATTACTCTGAGATAAATTTCTTCTTATTAGACTGGCAAAGATTGAAATGGGTGCCAGTGCATCTTCAGATAAGGGTGAGAAAATAGCCATTTAGGACTCTGTGCAGGGCAGTTTTATGGTATGATTCAAAACTCCAAATATCTACAATTTAGAACTCCCACTGCAAGCATTCTATCACACCTTGAAGCTCAAACATGCATTAAAATGATCAGAATATATTTGAGAAACAATTTAAATGATCTTTAATAGGAAAATGTTTAAATAGGTTACAGTACATACACAGTGGAATTGTAGTACACACACATATGCGTAGTAGAACACTATGCAATAATTAATAGGGAAAAAGAAAACAGAAGTGGTAGGTAAGAAAATAATTAGTGAAAACCTGGAGAAAATGGATAAGAGAAATGTGCATTGCAAAGTTGGCACACATTCTGCTAGAAGTGGATGCTTTTTTCCTAGTCATGTCTTTTGTCAATATGGGAAGCTGCCATTTAAATATTTAGTGGATTCATGTGGTTTGTTTTCACTTCAACATTTGTTTGCTTAGCTTGCCTTCCTCCCCCAATGACAAAACAAATGGCACAATAAGACTTAACACATGAAGAAAGAAAAACAAAAGAGTCTGTTTTCAGCCCTAGTGAATTTGTTAGGCAGCCAGCATCTGGCATGTTTGCCACCAAGATATAAATAAGTGTCAAGAAATTGTCCCAGCCTTCTGTGTCTGACATACCACTCAACTGAAAAGTCAAATAGTAGACATTATCTTACACTATGTCTTATGATTCTTATCTAGGGAAAATATTTCCTGTTTACTAACATCTTACTGTTTTGTGATGCAAAAGCAATAATCAATTGTGACTTTGTAATTCAGTTTCTCCAGCAAAGATGTGGAAAAAAAATTGCTCACTATTTACTAAGAGCTGGGTAGCACATTCAGCTATTAGGAAAATTGCAAGAGTGCCTTGCAGAAAACAAACAAACAAACAAGATTCAGTCAATGTCTCTTAGAGTCCTGTCAGATGTTTTATGTGGTAAAGTGAGTTGGCGCATTAGACAAAAGGTTTAAGAGAATATAGGCATCTACAGAGGTTGCTATGAAACCCAATGACAGAGCCTGCAGAGGTGCCTTAGAAGAGCAGATATTTCCTGTCTCACATTTCTGATATCTAGAAACAGTTTCAAGCCTGAATTCTAGTCTCTTATTGCATAGTTTTCTGAAAGCTGTTTTTGCTTCTATTCACCCAAACACAGGATTTTATCTGCATGATATTAAATGAGGACTTTTTAATCTGTCTCAAATACTGCAGAGTAAAATCCAATTCAAATGCTAAACACTTCTCATTGAACCCCTTTTGGTATAGGAGGTAACCCTTACCCCATTCCATCCAAGCTGTTCCACATTTATGTCCGATTTTCTTCAGGAGTGCTGGTATAAAAGGCATCAAAATTGAAATGAGAGGAAGTCAAAGCATCCATGGTTGCAGATGACATGATGTTGTACATTGAAAAACCTAAGCACTCCACCAAAAAGCTGTTAGGATTGATAAAGCAAATCAGTAAAGTTACAGGTTACAAAATAAACATACAAAAAACAGTACCTTTTTGTATATTAGTGATGAAATCACAAAGAGAGAAATAAAGAAATCCCATTCACGACAACCACAAAAAGTAAAATATTTAGGAGTAAATTTAACCAAAGAAGTGAAAGGTCTCTGCAATGAAAATATCAAGCATTGATGAAAGAAATCAACAAGGACACAAAAAAAGGAAAGATAGCCCTTGCTCATGTAGTGGAAGAATCAATATCATTAAAATGTCTGTACTACCTAAAGTGATCTACAGATAAATGCAATCCCTATCAAGATACGAATGGCATTCTTTACAGAATTAGAAAAAGCAATCCTAAAATTCATTCAGAATCACAGATGACCCAAAATAGCCCAAGCAAGCCTGAGCAAGAAAAACCAATTGTAGGCATCACAATACCTGATTTCAAAGCAGACTACAAAGCTATAGTAATTAAAACAGCATTGGTACTGGCTTGAAAGCCCATACATAGATCAACAGAACAGAATAGAGAGCCCAGAAATTAATCCACATACATCCGGCCAGTTGATTTTTGATGAAAATACTCAGACCATACAGTGGAGTAGGGATAGTCTGATCAACAAGTGGTGCTGGCAAAACTGGACATATTTATGTAGAAGAATGAAATTAAAACCATACGTCTCACCATATATAACAATAACAATCAACTCAAGATGGATCAGAGATCTAAATTTAAGACCTGAGACTGTGAAGTTGCTAGAAGAAAATGTAGGGGAACACTCCAAGACATTGCTGTAGGGAAGAACTTTTTGGACAAGACTCCCAAAGCACAGGCAACAAAAGCAAAACTAAACTAATGGGACTATATCACACTCATAAGCTTTTGCACAGCAATGGAAATGATCCACAGAATGATGAGACATCCAACAGAATGGGAAAAATATTTGCAAACCACCATTCTGACAATGGAATAATATCCTGAATATATCAGCAACTTAAAAATTCAACAACAAAAATACAACCAATCCAGTTGAGAAATGGGCAAATGACTTCAATAGACAGTTCCCAAAAGAAGAAATACAGTTGCCCACAAATATATGAAACAATGATCAACATCACCAGCCATCAGGGAAATGCAAATCAAAACCACAGTGAGATATCACCTCACCTCTGTCAGAATGGATAAAATTTAAAACACAGAGAGTAACAAATGCAGGCAAGAATGTGCACTTTTGGTGGGAATGTAAATTACTACAGTCACTGTGGAAAACTGTGGGAAAATTTCTTTAAAATCTGGAAAGAGACTTAAGATACGATACAGCAATACCACTACTGGGTATATACCCAAAAGAGTTGAACACAATGTATCAAAGAGATATGTGCACCACTATGTTTAGAGCAGCACTATTCAGAATAGCCAAAATTTGCAACTAACTAACCAAAGTGTCCATGATCAGATTAATGGATAAAGAAAAAGTGGTACATATAAAAAGGAATATTATTCAGCTATAAAAAAGAATGAAATTCTACCATTTGCAGAAAAATGGACACAACTTGAGGACAGCATGTTGCATGAAATAAGCTGGACCCAGAAAGAGAAGCACTTCATGTTCTCCCTTATATGTGAGAGCTAAAATTTAAGAAAAACAAAGAAAGAAATGTCTATGTGTTTCAGTACTGCTGCAAAAATAGTTTTGCAAAACTTTATTTTATACTTTTGTGAAACCAATGGTTAAGCATGCTATACTGCAATAGTTTTAATGATCTGTGATTACTTTAAAATGTAATGTATATGAATGAAATGGCCATTTTTCCTTTTAATTATTGTTTATAGCCAGTGTCTATATTCCAACTAAACTAGGGTCTTTTTTGCTTTTCACTTGTTAAATTTCTTATGCTGTAAAAAAATTACTTGTATGGGAACCATGCAGTTTTAAAATAGCAGTGAATATTACATATAACATTAGAGTTTTGTGAAAAAATTTGTGTTATTTTTCTAATATGTATTTTCAAACTTATTATTTCAGAATAGTATTAAACTCATAAAACAAAAATTGTGAAGTTGCACAAAGAATTCCAATACACACCTATTGTTAACTTTGTAATGTAATTATGATGTATTTTTTAAAGATTTATTTATTTATTTGAAAGTCAGAGTTACACAGAGAGAGAAGGAGAGACTGAGGGAGACACAGAGAGAGGCCTTCCATCCATTGGTTCACTCCCCACTTGGCTGCAATGGCTGGAGCTTCGGGGATCCAAAGCCAGGAGCCAAGAGCTTCCTCCAGGTCTCCTACGCAGGTGCAGGGGCCCAAGGATTGGGCCGTCTTCTACTGCTTTCCCAGGCTATAGCTGAGAGCTGTACAGGAAGTGGAGCAGCCGAGACTCAAACCATCGCCCATATGGGATACCAGCACTGCAGGTGGCGGCTTTACCTGCTATGCCACAGTGCCAGCCCCAGTATGGTGTATTGGTTGCCATTTATGAACCAAACCCAACTTCCTCTATTATTAACATCTCATAAAAGTTCTATTATGTCTTAGAAAATGCATTATTCTTCCAGCAATTATAGTTTTCAGTCATACATGAATTAGAATCACAGAATGTTAGTGCTTCCTGAGAGATCGTGTGCTCATTTAACGAACACTCATACTAAAGCCCAGTGGTACTCTATCAGCATGGAGGCTTATATAGAGGGGCATACCCATAGTCTCTAATTTGTCTCCATATCAGCAAAAAGCTTCAGGGATAAGAGAATGAACAGTAGGATGCTGATATCAGAAATGAGTGAAGGGCTCAAAGGGAAAGATTGAACATGTGAATTAAAAAAAAAAATCTATGAAGCAATCAGCCAATAAAGGTCAGGATTTGGCCATGGCCTGAGAGCATCCCTGTGTTTTACCTCATTCTCCCAGCCAGGACCAACCAGAGAAAACTAATTATGCTCCTCAGAGCAGTCACACAGGGGCAGGCATGGCGATGCAGCGGGTTAAGCAGCTGCTTGTAATGTCCTCGTTACATTTCTGAGTGTGTGGGATTGAGTTCCTCCTCTGCTTCTTTAAAATGTATATTTATTTATTTATTTTGAATTTTATTTAAGGTATACAAATTTTATGCATTTCAAATATACAGATTTTGGGACCTAGTGATTCTTCCCATCATACCCTCCCTCCCACCCACACTCCCACTCTTCTTCCTCCTCTCTCTCTCCTATTCCCACTCTTAATTGTTACAAAGATATATTTTCATTTACTTTATACTCATAAGATTAACCCTACAGTTAGTAAAGAGCAACAAATAGTATGAGGGATAAAAAACACTGTTCCTCAACAGTAGAGACAAGGGCTGTAAACAATCATCGAATTTCAACATGTCAATTATACTTCTATATATTACATTTTAGATACTCTATTAGTTACCACAGATCAGGGAAAACGTATGATGTTTGTCTTTGGGGGGCTAGCTTATTTCACTGAGTATAATGGTTTCCAGTTACATGCATTTTGATGCAAAATATAGGATTTCATTTTTGTTTATCATTAAGTAGTATTCCATAGTGTATATATGCCGTAATCTCTTTATCCAGTCATCGGTTGATGGACAGCTGGGTTGATTCCATATCGTAGGTATTGTGAATCAAACTGCAATGAATATGGTGGTATAGATAACACTTTCATCTGCTGATTTCATTTCCCTTGGATAAATTCCTGGGAGTGGGATTGCTGGATCATATGGTATATCTAGTCTCAGATTTCTGAGGTATCTCCATACTGTCTTCCACAATAGCTGTACCAGTTTACATTGCCAACAACAGTGGACTGGGGTACCTTTTTCTCCACATCCTCACCAGCATTTATTGTTTGTTAAATTTCTGTATGAGAGCCATTCTAACTGGGGTGAGGTGAAATCTTATTATGATTTTGATTTTCATTTCCCTGATGGCTAGTGGTCCAGAGCATATTTTCAGATAGTAATAACATGGGGCAGTGATTCTTCAACTTGTTGAATGCTCCAATTTCAGTTTGATTTGGCTGCAGCAAACAGAAAACTGATCTTTTGCCCCAACTTCCCACTGTTGGAGCCAATACTGGAGAGGTTACAATAACCCCCACCTTGGCCCACACAGTGGTCAATTCCAAGTTCTTATTTAATCTCTCAGTAACAAACTGCAGCTGATAATCACTCTTCCTTGAAAAGATCTTTTCAAGGACATCTTTTCCCTACCTCACAGGATGATCCTGCTCTGTCTTCTTAGCCGGGCCCTCGTCTTTTCTCTGATCTCTTAACACAAGTTCCCCAGAGGTCAGTCCTTGAAAGTCTTCTCTTCTGTATTTACATTTGTTTGCTAGGGTTGTAGTTCTCCAAGAGTACTCTCAGACCAGCAGCATCAGCATGACCTGGAAACTTGTAAGAAATGCAAATTTTCAGATCCCTCTGCAGGCCTAATTAATCAGAAACTCTGGGACTGGGTCTCAGCCATCTGACTTTTAACAAACACTGCAGGTGGTTCTCTTGAATACCAAAGTTTGGAAAAAGGTTTCCCTAAGGAATCTTACAGAGCCTGAACTATTAATAGCATCTATAAAGTATGAACTCTAATCTTTTAGTCCAGTCTCCTGGCTCTGAAATCTAGATTTACAATTTGATGTCTTGTCTGTAAAAATTTCTAATTTGATCTCTGTACCTGGATATGTAATAAGTACTTCAGCCATTATATGTCAAAGCTAAACATCTGATAATCCCTGTTTTTTTTCCTACTTATACTAATTCCTATTTTAGGTCATGACTAAACCTTCCAGCCACTCAAACCAAAATTCTTAGAGTTATAACTGATCTCTCTCTCTCTCTCTCTCTCTCTCTCTCTCTGTCTCTCTCTCTTTCTCACACTCTATATCTGATTTCCAAGAGATTTCTGTTGGATTTCAAAGTATATCTAGAAAATGACTATGTATTATTACATTCAGTGCTATCAGCCTGTTAAATTACCATCACCTTTCACTTAAATGTGTGTATAATTGCAACCCAACAAGTCTTCCACCTTACCTTCATGTACTTTATTTTCAGCAATGCAACTAGAATGATCCTTCCAAAGTAGAATTTGAGAATTCAGTTCCATTTTGCTGCTACAAGCCCTCCAATGTCATCATTCTGGTAAATACATTAAAACTTCTGAACAAAATTACACAGATGAAGATAAGGAAAATAAAATTTCTGGAGGGGCAAATAGAAGAGGGAAGTCAAAACTTAGAGAAGCAACTTGGCCCAGTGCCTCTAGAGCTCTAAGGGGTTTCAATCGGAGAGAAGAGCACTGAGACAGGCAGATGAAAGATCTAAAAGATTTCATTTTACTTTGAGAGTAAAGGACAGGGGGAAAATGCACAAGAGGCTAACCTAATTCTGTGTACAGGGCTGAAATTGGAGGGGAAAATATTGAAGAAATAATAGAAGAAGACTTCAAAATTATACACAAGTTTTATATTTGTATATATTTTATATACGTATGTATGTATTACAGATCAGTAAACAAAATACAGGATTGATTGAAAGGAAGCTTGTCTAGACACATTATAATTAATCTTCTAAGAAACAAAAAGAAAAAGTAAACTTCAAGTTCATAAAAAGAGACACATTACAAATGGAACAATGCCTTAAAAGACTGAAACTTCACAATGAAAATCTGGAAAGCCATAAAACAGTGAAACAACATCTTCAAATACTAAAACACACAAAAAATTATCAACCAAAAATTATATGCCCATTGAAAATATTCTCCAGGGATAGAGGTAAATGTGAATTTTCCAATGAAGGAAAAATGAGATTAAATCACTGGCACATGTACTCTACCAAAAAATGATAAAGAAATTCTTCAGATTAAAGGTAACCTGACAATTCTTCAGATATCTGAGAAAAATATGCAAATATTCATCTGTTTTGGCAACAGTAACCAAAATGGCAAATAGCTGAATACATCTAGAAACCAATTTTCCTTCTTTGTGTTTATAATTATGTTGTAATCTATTACATCTATACACAACTTCACAGGACAGTGTTGTGATTTTGAATTTGAATGGGCTTAAATATTCCAAAGAACTTGAGAGTACAAAGTTGAATTTGATATTTAAATTCTTCCCAAAGGAAAATTCCAGGTCACATGATTTAAATATTCAAGAAACAAATGATACTGATTTCATAGAAAATTTCAGGAAATAGAAAAGTTGTCATCACTTTTCTACAACTTTTCTATTCCTTTTGTAAAAGTTCTTCATAACCCTAATACCCAAATCAAATAAAAATATAACAATAAAATAATTACAAATATCATTCATGAATATAGATGTAGAAATTTTTAACAAAATGTTAATAAACTGAATCCCCACACATGTAGTCATCTGTCACTTAGCAATAGGGTTAAGTTCTGAGAATGCATCACTAGGTAATTTTGCCATTGTACAAACAAATAGAGTGCATTTTTACAAACTTGGATTGTGTAGGTCAGTCACTTCATGTGGCCTCTTGGTGCAATCAAGATATGTGGTTAACCCAAGATGTATAAAGAGGCTGCTACAGGCATATCATGCCATATTCTTTTACAGTAATCTTTTATGAGTAGAAAGATTACACTAAATCAACAATAAATGAATACTGTAGTAAATACATAAACCAGAAACAATATTTTATTATCATTATCGAGTGCTACATATTATATGAAATTTTATATTCTGTATTTTAAACAACTTGCAGGGAAACAGGTTTGTTTACGCCAGCATCACCAACACCTGAGAAATGCATTACTCTAAGACGTTATATTGTGAGGGCCCTGACATTACTAGATGATAGGAAGTTCTCAACTTAATTACAGTCTTCAGGGACTATCATCTCATAGGCATTCTGTCAGTGACCAAAATGTCATTGTGCAGCTCATGATTGTATAATACCGCAGTGTTTGTCCAAGTAGTACAAGGTTTTTCATCAATTTGAGACTGGCATTTAGCCTAGCAGTTAAAACACCAGCTAAAAATGCCTGCATCCCATATCATAGTACCTGCATTTGATACAATGCTGCAGTTCCTGACATCAGCTCTCAGCTAATTTGGACCCTGGAGAGAAGCTATGATGGTGCAAGTAATTGGGTTCTTGCTAGCCAACAACCCAGCTTTGGCCCAGCTCAGCCCCAGTTAGCATTTGGGGAGAGAGCCACCAGGTGGATGTGAACTTGCGCTTTCTCGTGCTCTCTCTCCCATCCTCCATCTCACATAAGTAAATAAATATTTAAAAACTCATCTATGTGTTACAGCATATTAATGGAACAAATGAGAAACATCATATGATCTTTTCAGTAAATGTAGGAAAAGTATGTGATACTGTTTAATAGTAAGACAGAAACTCTCAACAAACTAGGAATAGTAGTCAACTTCCTCAAATCTTGAAAGACTGAGTTGTTTCCCCCATATGAGAAACAAAGTAACAATTCATCTTCTACTCATTATCATATTAGAGCTCCTAACTATCAATATAGGAAGGTGGTGAGGGAGAAACCTGGAGAGAAATAAAAGGCATAAAGGCATAAAGAGAAGAAAGCTTTCTATTTACAGAATATTTCATTATGCAAGTAGCAAATCCTAGGGGTCAAACAATAACTATATCTAATACGTTAATTGAGTAAGGTCACATGATGTGAAAATACCACAAAAATATCAAGTATAATCTTTTGACTGGAATATTTAATATTGGAAGACTCATTTGAATGACAATTCTCAATTAGATCTGTAGCTCCAGCTCCAGAATGATTTAAGAAATTGACTTAGTAATGCTAAAGCTCATGTGAAAGTAGAAAGAACCTAGAATACTCAAAGCAACGTTTTTAATAAAATAGGTGGGGAAAAACTCTATCTGATTTTCAAGTTAATTATCAAGCTAGAGTAGTTTAAAAGTTTGCTATTTCTTAAGAATTAAACATGTAGATCGAGGGAGCGGAGCCAAGATGGCGGAATAGTGAGGGCGCGAACCGATAGTCCGGGAAAATTTAGTTTAATAAAAGCGGAGTTACAGTAGCCTCAGAAAAAGGATCAGCAAAAAATTGCAGAGGAAACTCTTCCGGAGCTATTTGCTGTGACTCAAAGGACCTACTGGGAGAGCAGGGTCACCCACCACGCGGAAGCTGAACCACAGGAGCCGCAGAGTCTGAGCGCCAGTGCGGGAAGGGGAGTCTGTGTGACAAAGACACCAGCGGGGAGAGGAGAGACGCCCAGGGCTCCGAGTCCACACATCAGCTCTGGAAGCGGAGGTGAGCTTAGTAACCGGAGACATTGGCGGGGAAATGGCGGACAGAATTTTAGAGGGACGCAGGTTTTGAAGCGGGAAAGTCCAACAGACTACAGGAGAGAAGGAAAAATAAATAAATAAATAAATAAAAAGGTGGGGGCATACTGGTACAGACAAGTTCCACTCTCTGCCAACCTTGCAAAGGCAAGCAAGAGACAAGGAGCTGGGATATACATAATAAAAGGGGAGAGTTAAGACTACAATTCAGTAGCCTAGGCAACCCAGTGGGAGTCCCCAGGACTCTTTGGGTAGAAGCCAGCAAAGCTAAATACCATCCATTCTGCTCAGCCTTGCAGTATTACTTACCTCCTGAACATAAAATAAAATAAAATAAAATAAATGAATAAATAAATAAATAAAGAGAGATTTACCAAGCATAACCTGAGGGTGTCACCTTTGCACACCCGTAACCCTGAAGAACCAAGCAGGGCTCTCAGGCCACACCCATCTCAAGCCTCCAAGGCTCCTCCATCAGCAGGCAGTACACTTAACACGGACATAGTATAATAATAATAATAAAAAAAAAACTCACAGTGAGGGAAACAGAATTAACCATGCCAAGCAATAAACACAGAAATCGAGGGAACAAGATCAACGATGACATTATGATGCCTCCAAATAAACAAAACACCCCAAGCCAAGATTATGAAGATGATGAGATAGAAGAAATGCAAGATATGGATTTCAAAAAATTTATGATAACAACATTTAGAAGTTTTCAAAAGCAAATCCTTGAACTACAGAAATCCTTATTGGACAGGATTGAGAATCTCTCTCGTGAAAATGAAATTTTAAGGAAGAATCAAAATGAAACGCAGAAACTAGTAGAGCAGGAAAGTGTTATAGTGAAGAGAAATCAAAATGAAATGAAGAGCTCAATAGATCAAATGACAAACACATTAGAGAGCCTTAAAAACAGAATGGGTGAAGCAGAAGAGAGAATATCAGACTTAGAAGACAGAGCACAGGAAAACATACAGTCAAACCAAAGAAAAGAAGAGGAAATTAGAAATCTAAAAAATAGTGTTGGGAATCTACAGGATACTATTAAAAAAACCAACATTCGGGTTCTAGGAGTTCCTGAAGGCATGGAGAGAGAGAAAGGATTAGAAGGCCTTTTTATTGAGATACTAGCAGAGAACTTTCCAGGTCTGGAGAAGGACAGAGACATCCTAGTACAGGAAGCTCATAGAACCCCTAGTAAACATGACCAAAAGAGATCCTCACCACGACACGTTGTAATTAAACTCACCACAGTGAAACATAAAGAAAAGATCCTAAAATGTGCAAGAGAGAAACATCAAATTACTCTCAGAGGATCTCCAATCGGACTCACAGCAGACTTCTCATCAGAAATACTACAGGCTAGGAGGGAATGGCGAGACATAGCACAGGTGCTAAGAGAGAAAAATTGCCAGCCCAGAATATTATATCCTGCTAAGCTCTCATTTGTGAATGAAGGTGAAATAAAGACCTTTCATAGCAAAGAGAAATTGAAAGAGTTTGCCGCCACTCGTCCGGCCTTGCAAAAGATACTTAAAGATGTGCTACACTCAGAAACACAGAAACACGGCCATCAATATGAAAGAAGGGAAAGGAAGAACACCTACCAGTAAAAGAGCATAGGAAGCTCAAAGCATATACTAGAAAATATCTCCGGGAAAATGGCAGGGCAAAGTCACTATGTATCAATAGTCACATTAAACGTGAATGGCCTGAACTGTCCAGTTAAAAGACACAGACTGGCTGACTGGCTTAAGGAACAACACCCAACTATTTGTTGCCTACAAGAAACACATCTCTCTAACAAAGATGCATGCAGACTG